CTTGTACACAGAATCTGTGCAGTTAAGTTATAATCTTTTAGTGTGGGACTATTTAACCTATACCTACTATACCTACCAGCCACTCCTTTAGCTTGGTAGAAACCATTCACAGTCGGGTGCGCTGTCAGTATTTCACATTTGGCAGGTGACTTTAAAATAATATTCCTGTACTTTCTTGTTAAATTAAAATACCCTGATGCTAAGAATAGCTTGCCAGCTTGAGGTGCATGACTCAGTAACTTGCTGGTGACAACCTCATCCTGACGAATGCCAAACGGAAACATTTGGACCAAAGGAACAACCCAGGTATCACAAACCTGGTCTGGTGTCCTCAATAAATCACTGCAATTGTTCTTTTCTTTTTGGTTCTGCAAGAACTTGGACACCCTCCTCCCTGCTTCAGCCTTGAATTTATTTCCACCATCAAATCCTTTAGTTGGATGAAGAGGAAAGTTTTCTCCCATTTTTGTTGTGTTATCTGGTTGAAGTTGAAGTGAGAAAGCTCGAACAGTTGAAACAAGGCTATGAAAAAAGTTTGCCAACTGAGGACAATTCTTGATCACGATGTAGCGGTCCTGACGGTTGGTGAAATAGTCTGCACTCAGGTTAGCTCTAGGGAAGATATAAGCACGTACAAAGAGATGGAGAGAGAGAATGACTAGCAGATTGAATTTAAATTGACAATCTGATAAACTAATAACATTAATTTAACGAATGACTGACTGCTTCTCTCATGTACATGTTTCATCTTTAACCTTTTCACCCTCAGATCTTATCAGTATTTCTCCTTACTGTCTGCTATACAATTGTTATGATTTTAGTTTGGAGAATTTGGTATTGAATCAACTAATAATCCCCTACTACACATTTGTCATTATTCTTGCATATTTGCATACTTGATATTATATTGATATTGTAAGGAGAATTCTGTCTTGGTCACTGATGGGAGTTTAAGGGTTAACTTATCTCTCTCTTAGTCTTGTTTTAATACAGGAACTTACCCACTCATAATCAAAGTGTCATCAGTAAGATACACCTTAAGATGTGTCAGGGCCACTGTCTCATTAAACCTCTCAGGAAGAAGCAGCTTTAGCAGGCCTCTGAGGCTGGGTGAATGATACAGGGACACCTTGATGGAAGGACTGAAGCTCTGTATCAGTGGTAGGAGCATGGTTCTAGAGTTGTGCTCTCCTCTGGATCCTCGGGTGTGCTCCAAAAGTATCTCCACGTTTAGAGACTTATCCAAAGAGGTAGATCTCTTCACAGCATTATAGATACAATCAACCTAGAGACAAGTATTTGGTAGCTGGTGCTTGTTGATATGTTTCACTTATCACTGTTTTTTCATACATATGTTCACTAATGTCCAATTTTTGTAATCCTAAGAAAATTCTCAAAGCCTTATGCCGTATTCTGAAACTGTAATTTTCATTAATTGCTTGATTCTTTAAGAAATCCAGGTATTTGATCTTTTAGTCTTTTTAGAGTTGTTCTGAGAAGGGCTGATGTCTGTTGTAGTGACTGGCATTTCATCAACCAAGGTGAAGTCTTAATCAGAATAATGATAATATTGTTGACTCTCTTCTCCTGATAACAGTTCTTCTCCAGACCACTCTCACTCCAATCACCAGACTTCATGGTCATCTGTTACTCCTCCATTCAAAAGACTTATATATATCCAGATATGATGGAAAAGGGAAATCTTATGTATTAAAGATTGCCTGGGATAAAAACCATTACAATATATTGCACAGTAAAAATAGTATTGTTCAAAGTAATCTAAGCAAAAGTGGCTTGGATGAAGCTTCTGAAGTCCAGTAACAAGCCAGCAGGCTCTCACAGGCACTAACAGCTGGGAGAGATGACCCTAGCCGGCCACGGGTTCTGGGATCTGAGAGCCAGCTGACTAGCTTGTACTAGCATGCTGAAAATGCTGTCAATTAATTTCAGTTATAAAATCACCTACTAGTTGTTGCTCTTTTTCTCCTGTCCCTAAGTAAAGTGAAGCCAAAATAATCCGGCGATTTGCTTTGCTGACATTATCCTTGAAAAGAAAAAATATCATTAAAGAAGACGTAACAGTTAGCTTATCTATAAGAAAAGAAAACGTCAACACAAGCTTGAACCCTGTACTACGTGCATACATAATATTGATAAATGATATCCGATTTGGTCATACCTTGAGAGTTGCAAAAAACTGCTCAGGTTCGTTTAAAACTGTAATATCTTTCCCATTCACCGGGAACACAGGTGCATGTTCTGCCATCCATTGTACTGTTTCCCTTGGAGTTTGACGGGGAGAAGTGCCACCATAATAACAATGTGAAGAAGAAAAAAGCTTTGAACTAATCCAAACACAAAATTTAGAAGATCTCGCAAACAAAACTGGCCCAAAATCGAGCAGACTTTGCATTACTTGACAAAAGTTTTTGAAAAAAACGATCACGTTCACTTTGTAACCGAGCTTGAAATTAGCGACCAAGCCTTCTCGGGTTGCCAGGCGAAGGAGACGACAACAAGGTCCGCCATCTTTGCCGTTGCTCTGTGTTGTGGAAACTTTATTTGTATGTTGTCTGCTTTTTAAATTAAGTATGTTCTTCAATCTTTTCTAGATTTATCTATGTATCTGCTAATTTTTGCTCAAAACTTTGAAATAGCTTTTTGCGATCCCTATGTTGTCCCAATCTAAAAGTTTTTTTAAACTCGATTTTGTTTTTTGCTTTTATATCGTTGAATGCTTGCAACATCTACCAAAAGGATAATCTTAGTGTTACAGTTGTTTATTTCTTAATTGAAATATTTTGCGAGATTACTTTTCATTTTTTGAGCCTATTTTTTCTTTCTTCTCGGTTGTTTCTGGACAGAAGTATCTAAAATGGAGATTGTGTACGTATACACAAAGAAGAGAAGTGAATTTGGACGTCAGTGTAACTTCTCTGATCGTCAAGCAGAGCTACACGTAGATATAGCTCCAGATGAAAAACTCCTCCAAGACTACATCGAGAAAAACCCCTGTGATACTGGGATTCAGTGTGTTCAAGAAATGTCTGAGCATGAGGTACTTAAAGAAAATTCAGCCATTAATAAAAACACTCAGCTATGATTCTGCATAAGCAGACACTTCCTAGATGTTAAATCTTAAGTATAGACCCAGTTCCATAGGAAATTCAACATCTTTATTCATTATTTGACCTCCCCATGGCAGCTAACACTTTTTAAGGTATTCAGAGGTTAGATTGCATAGTAATTGAATGCCCTTCTTGAAAGTGTCAATACACTTGTTAATTTTGAGCAATGTTTAATGGACAAGGTAATTTGCAAAGAATAGTAGTTAATTCAATGGGAAGAATAAGGAGACTGCTCATGCAAGGGTAAGCACAAAGAGATATGTATGTCATGCATGCGTGAGGGTAGAATACAGAGCCCTCTGTAATCACTGGAAAGAAAGCAAGAAATCAGGCAAATGGACAAAATTCTACTCGTTAAATGTGCAATCTATTTCCACATTGCAATCTTCACTTATCCCACATTCCATCTTGTGTGGACGTGTGATTACAGTCGGACCTCTTGACTGAGTGACCACTGCAAGGCTTAAGTTACAATGACAAAAAGACAAGAGCTAATAGATCAAAGTTCATGATAAATCTATTTGACAATTTATGAAATCTTTTTGAGGGGTTGTCCCAAAAGACATCATTGTTGATTACTTAATTGTCTGAACATTTTGACTGTTATCCAAACCTCAAGCTTTCAAATAATCAGTTGTGAACTAAGAGGAGTCTTCCTAGGACTACTCTCTGGATATTCAGACTTGAAAACATATTTAGTAAGAGATATGTTATTACTTGGTAAGGTGAATACAGAGAGGTTTGAGACAGAGAGTCGTGGTATAAACCATGTGGAGGGTGGTTGGCCAAAAGACGTAAATCCAGCTGAGGTTGAACAAACCATCAGGTATAGGAAAAAAGTGGAAAAGGATGAGATCTACATGAACACCATTCAACAACTTTCAAATGTAAGTTCATGAAAATACACCTAATTTTTGCTCAGTATAGCATGATAAAGGTGAATCAGACCAATTTAATAATTTATGTGAAGGTTTGAAGATCACATTTTGAAGTGATCGCAATGTTCAAGCTCTAATCTTGTTGATACTCTTTAAGCCTATTTTGATATACAATTTCTATTTGTTGCTTTTCAGATTATGGAACACTGTATCAAACAGAACAATGCAATTGACATTTATGAGGAGTACTTTTCAGACATTGATGTGGACACTTCAGGTGACCCACCATCAGCAAAAACCATAAATGTATTCAGGTAAGCAAGTTAATTATCACATTGAAAACCATACCTTTTGTCTTAAATTACAGACCTAACTAAAAGAAGCAACACATCTGTACTTCAATATTAAGTGGGGATGGTGCAGTGGTGAGAGGGCTTGCCTCCCACCACTGTGGCCTGTGTTTAGTTACCAGACCTGCAGTCACACATGAGTCAAATTTTTTGTTGGTTCTCATCCTTGTATGAAGGGTTTTTCTCCACAATTCCTCTGATTCTCCCTCCTCCACAAAAACCAACATTCCAATTCAACTTGAAAACAGTGGACAAGAAGAGCCACTTTGTGGAATGTCCCATGTTAAATTCCATCTCTATTATTATTATTATTATCATTGCTATTCTTAATATTATTATAATAATTTTAAAAAATGGCCAAATTGGCAATGGCAGTTGTTGACAGAAGAAATTTATTTATTCAGAGATCCTCATGACACCAAGCGCACAGCTACCAGCCTTTCATGGTATCCAGACAGTTCAGGGAAGCTGGCTGTGGCATATTCCATTTTAGAGTTTCAGCAATTTGCAGGAGAGACCTCTATGGACTCATACATATGGGACATAGGTAAGAATTTGTTTGAAGAGTTACAGCTATCTTAAGAGCAGTATTATGACTTGGACATTGTTATTTACTTCTTTGCACTTAAATGCTTGTCTTCTTAGAAAATCCAAATAAACCAGAGCTGGCTTTGAAACCTGTCTCACCACTAGTTTGCTTGGAATATAACCCAAAAGATCCACATATTCTTGTGGGAGGATGCTACAATGGACAATTAGGTATTGTACTAAGATATATATTTGATTTCGTAATTTAACACAAAGAATTCTCGCAACTTTAAAAACTTAAAAGGGGAGTCAATCAAATGAATCCATTTTTAATGTATGTGTCAAGGCATGGTATGAGGTTACCCTCCTCGTTAAAACTAGAAGCTCATGTGTAAAATGAATGACAAAAAAAATTAGGAAATGCTCTAAAATCAGAGGAATTCACCTATTAAATAAAATTGTTATTTTTTAAACTATGTGCAAGGTGGGAGACCTAGAGAAGATGATATTAAGGTGCAAAGCTCTTTACCATACACAATAATTATGATCTTCTAATAAAACTTAAACAGGATTTTGGGACACAAGAAAGGGATCTCATCCTGTGGAAATGACAGCCATTGAGCACAGCCATAGGGACCCTGTATACAAAACAATGTTCCTTCAGTCAAAGACAGGTCAGTATTGCTGCTTTTAAACTGTTACTCTTATCCATCCCCTCAATGGATTATAGTCATTAAGTTTATTCTGCAGTGACAATTCCTCAATGCCCAATATTTTCTTTAGGTACTGAATTCTTTTCCACCAGTACTGATGGGCGAGTTCTCTGGTGGGACATTCGTAGGATGGGTGGAGAGCCTACAGAGTCCTTGCTACTGTGTCCAAATCCTAAGAAAGATCCTCGGCCCCAGGGAGCATTCTCTTTAGAGTATGAACCCACTATGCCAACAAAGTTTATGGTTGGAACAGAGCAAGGATCTGTGTTGTCTTGTAATAGAAAGGCAAAGACACCTTCGGAGAAGATTGTGTGTTCCTTTTCCCAGCATTATGGACCTGTGTATGCTGTTCAAGTGAGTTCCTCTTCGCATTCCCTTTAATTTCAAGGTTTTGATTATGCTCAAAAATATTTAGGGTAACCATAATGCAACACTATAGAAATATTTATTCTAGCTGTGACTGATTGACAAATTAGAAATCCATTAGAAAACAGGATAATTTATGTATTAGTTATAAGCCACATTAAGCATGGAAGTAACAGAAACCACCAATTGCCACCAATTCATTCTTTGTTCTTTGTACAAAAAAAGAAAAGTGAGATAGTTTGCCCCACAAATAACTGGAAAGCTAACCACATATCAAACTTCTGTGTAATTTAAGCCAATAATGTGAGGCAACAAAGGTGCATTTAATGTGAGAGCTATGTTTTGTTTTAAAGAAAAATAAATTTAGACTGAATTGGCAGCTGTCACTTTCACTTTTCAGCGCAACCCATTCTTCCCTAAGAACTTCTTGACCATTGGAGACTGGACAGCAAGGGTAAGTAAGAACATGATGATCATTTAAGTCATAAGTACAGTGTTCCAGTGCCCTGTGATGTTATCAACACAATTTATGAAGATGTATTGCATGGGTGATGAGAAGGAGATGCTCTGAGGGTTAAATTTCAGTGAATGGCTTTTATTTTTTTTTTAATTATATATTATATGGTTCAGCTCAATTGTGATAAATTTCTCTTGTTTTGTCCATCCTTAGATATGGTCAGAGGATCTTAGAGAATCGTCTATTATGTGGACAAGGTAAGTTAAGAGTTTGTAAATTGCTATTAGCAATACTGTATTTCCTTTCTTTTCAAAAACCTTTGTATGAGTTACCTATGGAAGGTCATGGAAAGCTGTGAAGCCAAATGAGACTAATAGCATGCCACAAGCCACCAGTAGCCAAGGAAATCTTTGAGTCACAAAGTTGCAAGAACGAGTTACCATACGTGGTCATAGTTCTTAATTAGTAATTTTTAGTTGTGATTTTCCAGGCAACACATGTCATACATGACAGATGGATGTTGGAGTCCTGTGCGGCCTGCCGTGTTCTTTACCACTAAGATGGATGGTACACTGGATGTGTGGGACTACTTATTCAAACAGAATGACCCAACACTCAGTATTCAAGTAAGTTCAGCCTTGTCTGGTCTTACATATGATGGTAATACAAGCCCAGAAAAGACAAACTGTTTTGTGATTTAGGTAGGATACTTGGTTTATGCATTGTCCATAGAATACAGTATGATAGAAGACTGAAGTGGTTACTATAGAACTTCTCTTTGGAACATACAATTGACCCTTCCATCCAGGGACAAACACAGACTTTGGTCTGATCATAGAAAAAAAATAATAAATAAATAAAGAGGCCAACATAACAGCTTGTAATCCTTGTACTGTACCTGTCAAATTACACCCAATTTTCCAACGGTAATAATTTAGATTTTTTTGAAAAGGAAATGATCAAATAACAAGATAGCCGAAACTTTTATTTGCGGTTTGTTTTTAGGTTTGTGACGAATCTC